GCCACATGCACCATGCCATGCCATGCCATGGCACGGCACCAAACAACAACTCGCTCTGCACCTGTGCCCTGCACCTGCCACCTCCATTTCCTGATGTTTCTATGGCTATCTGGTCTCCCTCTACCCATTCCTCCCTCAACCCCTCTCTCCCCCCTCTGCCACTACTCACTCGTCCCTCTCTCCCCCCTCTGCCACTACTCCCTTGCCCTTCTCTCTCCCCTCCCCCACGGCACCAGACCTCCCGCATCTCTCCACCGCTGCCAACGTGTGGACACTCCTCGGCTCCACGGACGCGCAGCGAATCAGGAACCTCCAGGTGGCGGTCTCGCGCACGCTCTACACGATGATCAAGGACTCGTGTCTGGCGGGGCCCTATGCCATGACGCTCACAGAGAGCTACCGCCGCAAGTTCACGGCGTTCCTGTGCACCATCACTGGCGGGCCGGCAGAGCGTCTGGAGCTGTGCCGCTTCCGCAACGCATCGGGGCACCAGCTGGTGCAGGCGGAGGAGCTGTTTAGACACCTCAAGAAGGTGCACCTGGGGTGAGTGGCACCTCAAGAAGGTGCACCTGGGGTGAGTGGCACCTCAAGAAGGTGCACCTGGGGTGAGTGGCACCTCAAGAAGGTGCACCTGGGGTGAGTCACTCTTCCCTTCCTGCCCTGCCCTGCACACATTGATCTCTCGTTTGCGCTTCACCTTCCTTCCTTTCATCCCGCCGTCCAACCACCCAACTGCTCGCCTTCACCTCCTGCCCCCTTCCTTCCTCCTGCAGGGGCCACCTGGTGATCACGTCACAGCAGCTGCGGCGATTCATCGACATCCTTCTAGCCGCCATGCAGTCCGTCACCGCCCTCACCCCCGACGCCGTGGCGGACCTCTCCTCTTTCTTCCACCGCCTCGACCCCGCCATCGTCAGCACCAGCACCGAGGGGTGCTCACAGGGAGGCACGTGGTTGCAGTGGCGTGCGGGTGTGAAGCACAACACGACCATCCATGTGGGCGACAAGATCACCTGGGTGTGGGATGACGACCTCCCGCACTCCCTCAGAAGTGAGTCTGTTTTTGAGCTGCCTCGGAAGTGACCTCGCTGTCTCTGCTTCACTCGCTTCCCTTGTTGCTCGCTAATGGATTCCTTGTGGTTCTGATTTAACAGTCAGTCAACATCCAATGAACGGACTCAGTCGCGCCCGTTTCATTTTCTCTACGTCAGCCATCTGTCTAGGTGTTCTTATCCTTCTATGTTGCACTCGTTTCTAGATTGCTTATCCACCCTACTGTCCCCCACGCCATGCATGCATGCACCATACACCTGGCAGTATTGGGCATGGGCGACGGGCCAAAGCCCTTCTTCGAGGGCTTTGGGGGGCACCGCCTGGTGCTGTCGCGGCGCTTCTTCTGCTCGCCCATGAACGTGGGCGCCAAGGACGACTACGACGACCCCGTACCCTGCGTCGTCAGTGAGTGGCATTCCGTCTTCATCATCAACAGCTCTTGCACTTTCCATCCTCGCTTATCCCACCTCATCATGCTAAACGAATGCAACCACCTGAACCCCAATCCACACTCCTCGTGCCCTCCTATCCCCGCCGTTCTCACTTCTCTGCGTGCCCTCCAGAGCTCGCATCAGACGTGAACGCCACGTTCACGTACACCAAGGTGTTCAGCCGCCCAGGCGTGTACCTCTATGAGAGCGGCAACGACGTCGGCGAGATCGGCGACATCGCGGGTGCAGGCCCCTCCGCCTCCTCCGCGTCCTCCTCTGCTTCCTCCCCCTCCACAGCCTCCTCCTTATCCATGTCTGGGATGGTCACCGTGCTCCTTCCGCCTGCCGAGCCCAAAGGTTGGTTTCAGCCGCTGCTCTTTGCCTCTAGTGTCGTGCCCGTGGCCCGTGGGAGTAGCTTTCCTCTCGCCCCCACACCCCACACCCACCTCCATGTGTCCGATCATACCTTTCCATTCATCCTCCCCCCTGCATCCCACCGCCGCCCTCCCTCCCCTCATCCCATCTTCTGCCTTCCACCAGACACGGCGTTCCGCTGCGCGCCAGCATGCTCGCTGCAGCTGATAGCCAACGGGGTGTGCAACCCCGAGTGCAACACGCCCGCCTGCGCCTTTGACGGCGGCGACTGCGGGTGCATCGACCCCGTCTTCGGCGTGGGCTTCTGCACGTGCCCTGCCGGCCAGGCCAGGCGCCACGATGGATGTGCGCCCCTCCCCGCCCTCGCCTTCCTTTCATACCTCTCTTTCTCCCTTTCCCCCTCGCTCGAACCCTCCGCCTCTTTCCCACGCGATCTGTCTCGCCTCAAGCCATCCCGCCCTTTTTTGTACCCTGCCTACCTCTCATCTCTCTCCCCCTCCGCTAATGCTCGCTCTCCCCTTCCTCCCCCCTCTCCATCCGGTGCCTGTGCCTGTGTGCATGTGAGCAGCGTGCTGTGTGTCAGACGCGGTGGGGGACAATCTGAGCTACCCCTTCACGCTGCAGCGCTACGGCCCCAACTTCTGGGAGAGCAACCGCGCCTTCGCTGCCGAGAGGAATGCACCGCTGACTCGCTTTGTGGCATCGCACAACAGGTACAGGCCTTTCAATGGGGGCATGTAAGGTGTGCACGTGGGTGTGCTGCGTGACTGACTGACTGCTGGAACTGAAGTCTTTCAGTCTTCAGTCTGTCTGCCATGTGCTGTGCACCCAGACCGAGCATGGTCGTGCTTCCGCACGCAGTCCTCCCAACCACTCCCAACGTGCTGTGCTGCACATCACCATCCCCATCTCATCCTTCCCCTTCCCTCTCTCTCGCCCCTCTATTCCTCAACCCCGCGCTCACACGTGCCCCCCATGGCAGGCTGCTGATCGGCATGTTCCTTACCCAGCACCGCTGGAGCGTCAAGACGTGCCAGGGCTCGGGGTACGTGCACTCTCTCCGCACGCCCTGCCCGCTGCCGCCTTTCACACACATCGCAAGCGCTGCTGCCTGCTTCCCTTTCGCCTGTCACCCCGCAACCATCAACCACACTCTTAACTTCATCTCACTCGATTTTCCCCCCTTCTCCCTTTCCTCCCCTTGGTTCCCCCCTCTCTCTGCGCGCTGGCAGCCTGCATCACCTGGCGGGGTGGTGTAGCAACGGCACGTCACGGCAGCCCTTTGGGGTGAACCCGCACTACCTGCCATCCTCCACGCTCTTCAACCCCGTCGCTGCCGCCGCCGCCACCATCCCTGCCACCGCCACCGTACCACAGGCAGTCAACGCGTCTACCCAGGACGAGCTGGTGCTGAACCCACAGGGGCTGCCGTACGGCTTCGTGTATCCCGTGGTACGCCCGCCTCGCCCCTCCCCATGCTGCACTGCTGCACCTGTCTTATGGCACGACTGCTGTTACCCTCTCTTTCTTATCTTGCTCAGGGAGGCGATTCCACCGCTGTTGCTGGTATCAGTGAGGATTCCTGTGGCCGGCTTTGCAAAAGAGCAGCTGTTGCAATCACTGCCTTGCTTCTCACTGCCTTGCTTCTCACTGCCTTGCTTCTCACTGCCTTGCTTCTCACTGCCTTGCTTCTCACTGCCTTGCTTCTCCCTGCCTTGCTTCTCCCTGCTTTGCTTCTCACTGCCTTGCTTCTCCCTGCCTTGCTTCTCCCTGCCTTGCTTCTCCCTGCCTTTCTTCTCCCTGCCTTGCTTCTCCCTGCCTTGCTTCTCCCTGCCTTGCTTCTCCCTGCCTTGCTTCTCACTGCCTTGCTTCTCACTGCCTTGCTTCTCCCTGCCTTGCTTCTCACTGCCTTGCTTCTCACTGCCTTGCTTCTCCCTGCCTTGCTTCTCACTGCCTTGCTTCTCCCTGCCTTGCTTCTCACTGCCTTGCTTCTCCCTGCCTTGCTTCTCACTGCCTTTCTTCTCCCTGCCTTCTCCGCGTCACCCCCCGCTCCTGTTCCCCTGTGGCTCGCAGGAGCAGGAGGAGGGGTACCCGCTGGTGTTTGACATCAACCTGGCATTCGAGGACGCCATGAACCGCCTGCAGTACCTCGCTGACGGTTTCTACGTCGACAATGCCACGCGCAGCATCGAAGTCTCCTTCATCACCCACAACGGTGAGCAACGCCCTTGCTTCCCCCTGGCCTTTGAACACGCCTTGACTCGCCTACAGTACCTGGTGTGGTGGACGGGCTGTAAATTGACAATGCCACTCGCCAGCTGGAGGTCTCTTTCCTCATTTATTCCCTTTGTGTTTTTTCCCCTACCTCCCTTTCTTCTCCCTCCTGCCTCGCTTAAATTCTCCTCCCGTTCCCCACCCACCCCGCATCCACCCATCAGGTGAGAGCAGCACGTTTGTCCTCACGCGCGTCACAGCAGATGTGGACACGGGCGGCGGGCTCGTCACATCTTTCTCCTCGCTGCCCATCTCCACCACTCTCTACCCGCCCTCCCTCACCTCTGTCTTCCTGCTGCTGCTGCAAGCGGTGTATGTGGCGGCGCTGCTATGGAACGGGGTGGAGGAGGCGGTGGAGCTGCGGGGGCGGGTGAAGAGAGAGGGCTCCGTTCTCAGCTACTTCCGTTCCGGCTGGAACTGGATCGACATGGCCTCGCTGCTCCTGCAGTGGCTCGCTCTCATCACCTGGCTCGTGCTGTGGCGGGCCACAGAGTCGTTTGACGTGCAGCCACGGTACGACATCTACCACACGCTGCTGGAGAGGCCGCAGTACTGGGCCGTGCCGGAGCCGCCGGTGGGGTTCGTGGCAGCCATGGACCGATACTCGTCACTGCAGGCGCTCATCAACTGGCGCTCCTTCTACTTCGCCCTGCAGGGCGTCAAGTGCGTGCCTGCCTGCCTTCCTTCCACCACGCTGCCCGCCACTCTGTCTCTTTCTTGTGCTCTCGCTTGGTGTGCTGTATGCTCTTTGTTGAGGAGTAACTAATTTCCATCACTTTTTTGGATAGTGTACGGTGTACCACAGATTACCCAACGCATGCCTTCCTGATTCCCATCCTGGCTGTAAAATTTATCCCATCCTTGCAGCCTCTTCCTCCTCATGGTGCGCCTGCTCAAGCTGATGGACTTCCAGCCCTATCTGGGCGTCATCACGCGCTCCCTCGCCCTCGCCATGCCATCACTCCTTCACTTCTTCCTGCTCACATTCATCGTCTTCTTCTGCTTCGCTCTCTACGGCTACCTCGTCTTTGGCGGAAAGATGGAGCAGGTGTGTGGTGGGTGGGAGAATGAACCATACAGCACTCTCAATCGCTCCTCTCATGTGCATGTGCTCCCTCCAGTAACCAGTTTGTTTGTCACTTGCTCCTTGGTGCTCCTCATGTAGCAAAGCTGCTTATCAAGCAATGATTCACCCCATGCGTCCCCCTCCGCGTCCCCCCAAACCCTGATCCGACCTGTGCAGTTTGCGACGCTGCCCGACGCGTTGTTCACGTGTTTCCTGATCATCCTGAACGAGAATGCGACGGCCTACTTCTTTGCACACATGCACGGGTGGGATCTGGTGGCTGGCATGCTCTTCTTCATCGCCTTCATTCTCCTCCTCGTCTTCATCCTCTTCAACTTCCTCATCGCCATCATCGTCGACGCCTTCATGACCATCAAGGTGCTTTTTTTTTTTTTTTTTTACCCCCTTTTTTTTGCCACCGTGTCTGTATTCCCCCAGAAGTTTCTGGTTACAACCAGAAGTAAGCCCCGCATCTAGTTTTTTCTCACATCTGCCTCCCGCTCGCCCTGCCAGGACTCGCATGTGGTGGCGACATCCATAACGCACGACATCGGCACCATCCTGCGCTACCTCATCAACCGCGCGCTGGGGCGCTTCTCCCCGTACAGCGACATCATGGCTCGCCTGGAGCAGCTGGGTGCGCGCAACAAGCAGCAGGACGAGGCGCACAAGCGCATGCAGCGCTACCAGTCCTTCAAGCGCCGCGCCAAGTCGTGCCTCACCGGGAAGGTCTGTGGGGCGAGTGCGGCGGAGGTGGAAAGAGCCAAGACGATGACGGCGGGTGGGGCCGGGGCGGTAGTGGCGCCGCAGAGGGTGCTGCAGGTGAAGGGGCAGAGCATTGATGACATCTCCCTCGCCATGATCCTGCAGCGCCGCCACGCCAGGGAGGTGTGTTGTGCGTTCGTCCTCTTCGGCACACCTTGGTTTCGTTTTACCTACTCCATGTTTTTTTTTTTTTTCGTCGACTCGAACGCCAACACAGCGACTCACTCACGCCCTCCCATTGCCCCTCTCCCCATTCATCGGACCCACACACAGGATCCGTCAGCTTCACTCCCCTCCCCGTCCTCCGCATCCGTGTTGCAAATCTCGCCCGAGTCAGAGCAGCTGTCGCATGTGCTGCTGCGGCAGTTCGGGGACCACGTGGTGCGGGACTACAGCCGCCCGCAGCACAAGCCCAAGCACGGGCTGCCACAGGTGCAGGAGGAGCTGGGGAAGGTGAAGGAAGCCATGGACGAGCTTAAAGCCATGGTGCTCGCCCTGCACTCCGCTGTCGCTGCAGGGGCGGGCGGAGCGGGGGTAGGGTTTGGAGGGGAGGGTATGCTGCCTGCTGCTGCCACTGGTGTGGATGGCGGTGCGGCTGGGGGAGCAGCGGGGCATTATCCGTTGTTTTCTGCGTCTTCCTCGGCAGCAGCAGCACTGGCTCGCTCTTCTTTCAGCACCACCTCCTCCTTCTCCTCTGCCCAAGGCTGCTTCCTCTCCCCCAACTCCCTCGGCACGCCCCTCGGCACCTCTCCGGCCCGAGACCCCTTCTCCCCTGCCGCCTCCTCGCTCGCTGCCGCCAGCCCCTTCATCCGTAACCCATTCGCTGCTGGTAACCAGCTCGCCGCCAGCCACCCGTTCGCGGCCAACAACCCATTTGCCGGGGGTAACCCATTTGGCACAGGCGGTCCCCAACACCGCTCGCTGGTGCTGCAGCGGGGGGCAGCGAGGAGGGCAGGGAGTGCCGGGCGGGCGGGGCTGAGAGGGAGCATGGGTCCCAGTAACCTGGGGCGTGGGAACCAGGCAAGCAGGCAGGGGAACGGGCCGGTGCTTTCGCGTGTGGAGACCACCCCACTGCCCCACCGGCAGAGATCAGACGACGCTGCTTCAGCTCGTCATGGCGGCTCCGGCATTGATTCTCATGCTGATAGCTCGCAGCAGCCGACTGATGAGAGTGCGGCTTTCGTTCATGCAGATACCATGCCTATGCCCCAAACCCGCACCTCTTCGTTCCCCTATCCTGAACCCGAGCCTCGTGACGCACAGGCAGGTTCGGCGCAGGCTCGTGGGAGCAGTGATGGTGAGAGCGCTGATGGGGATGGCAAGGGGAGTGGGAGCGGTGAGGAACAGAGCGAGGAGCTGTCGCCGCTGACACGAGCCGCCCGGCGCGTATCATTGTCAGAGATGGAGGAGGGTGGAGGGAGGATGAGGAAGAGAGGTGGAGAGAGTAGCAACGGGAGGGGCGCGAGTGGCGCTGGTGGAAGTGGGTCTGTGCGGAAGAGTGTGGGGTTCCGGGAGGTGTGAGGGGGGAATGTGCTGTAAGATGCCGCACTGAGTGAGAAGACCAAATGACAGCAGACTGCAGCATAGCGGAGTTGGTCTGCAATCACTGGGTGTATGAGGTGGCGGCGATGCTATGTTACCTTGATGAGAGCACCGAGCCAGTCCGGTCACCTAGTGCTGATGTTGCCTTCAGATTACCAGGTGAGTGGCAAGTGAGTTGGGGAGAGCAAAGGGGTGGTGGTTAGGTAGGACGAATGGGTTTGGCAGGGTGGAAAGAAAGATGCCACAAAGATAGAAAATCTCATTTTATCTGTATATTAACCTCTCCTGCTCCACCTTGTCCTGTTCCTCCATGCAGCTGCTGGTTACAAAATGAACAGTATGTGCTCGGACCTATGGACCAGGGAGGGCGGTCATCCTTACATTTGTGGTCCAGACATCATGGAGCCGTTCAGCATTGTGGTGAAGAGCAAATCACACATCAATTGTAATTGTGGTGTACAGCGTGGTAGCTTGTAAATGAGATCATGATAGAGAAATTATATACCGTATTCACTCACGATCATGATAGAGAAATTATTATAGACCCTAGGGTCTTATGCTAAATCCCTAGAAAAAAACGGGGGGGTCTTTACAAAGGAAAAAATATAACACCCGTGTCTTTTCATATGGCATTACTTTTTTCAAGTGTTTTCAACACCAAGGTTAATACTGGAGTTGTGGGTTTGCTTTTGGTGATCGTATGACCAGTCAAAACGAATTCCCCAATCACAGTAAAATTCGCCCCTCTGACGTAGCAATTTTGCCCCCCTGACACACCAATTTCGCCACCTGACGCAGCAAACTGGCCCCCTGACTCAGCAAATCAACCCCCTGACACGGAAATTCGCCCCCTGAAAGCCGAATTCGCACTATAGAATGCCTCAGTTTCAAGTGAATCAAATGAAAAGTACATGAAAAACCCCCCTGTAGGGGAAATGGGGGGGTCTTATATTGATCACCCCAATGGGGTATAACGAAATCGAGGTTTAATGAAGTACCCCCCCCCCCCCCCCCCCCCCCCCCCCCCCCCCCCCCCCCCGTATTAGGTACCCGGGGGTGTTGTATTTTGGGGGGGTCTTCTATCCGGGGGAATACGGTAATCTACTTTGTTTCAAGATGAGAAGCAATTTTTTTCTCACATAATAGTTCTTTAGTGGTAAGTAGAAAGGCAGTTCATGGAATGAGTCACTGTATTGCTAAGCGTACAACCTGTTCAACTACACCAATCATTGTGGAGCTCAACTCGACCTGTTGCCAAGTTCAAGCGTTTTCTCTGCTGTTGACCCAACCTCATACCGCTATCTCCGGATTTGCAGTAAACCTTAGGTGGTGACTGAACAAGAGTAGATGCAAGCGTGGTACATTTACGTGGCATTTTCATCCCCAATCTAGCGAGATTGGCGACCAGATGTCACCTGGCGAGAATCTTAGGATGCGGTAAAAGTAGACAATCGATCGTCAGTCACGATCGATGTGCAATCATGCTACATTATGTTTTTTTGCCAAAGTTTATGTACAGTGTGTGAATGCGACTGATTACTAATCGCGGGAGATCAGTAAAAGGCATCAAAACAACGTTGATGTTCATGAACCAAGCCTACCTGGTGCGATTGATTCGGATGTCTGCGACTTCCTGAGTTTCCGCAGAGCCAGGAATGGGAGTCGTCAAAATTGTCAACATCACTTTGAAATCTGTAAACATCACTTCGACAGTGTGGTTGCCCAGTGGGCTGCGACTGTCGCAGGTGTTTGGACGACTCATGTATTTTTGGGCGCGTGTCGCAGGCACGGCAGTAATTTCGGCTGTGAAACATCCACCACAATTCTCAGGTGCGATCGTTACAACGTCGCGATCGCCACGTTTCGCCAATCGATATGCGCATTCGATTGTGGGGCTCGATATATGCAGACGATCCTGCGATATTTGCACTTTTACGCGTCCTTAGTCTCCCTGTAAGTGAAATAGTGTAACTATTCGCAAGCATCGTTGTGGGCTCCGATCACATGCAATCAAGCGATCGCCCGTGATCGAGGAAAATCGGCTCCAATCGGGGTGAAAATCGGGTCTGATCGAGTTGGGGCGATCAGTTGATAGCAATCAGGTGATTACCCCGGATTGTCTGAATTTGGCTTCCAGGCTTCCTAGAAATTGATGATCGCGTGTGAACGAGGCGATCAAACTCGATTGGGCCCACGTCCTCACGTAGGGTCACTAGAGTCGCATTGGTGCCCGTGGTGAGGGCAGGCGAGTGAACGTTCACCATTGAAGGCGCCAAAACCAGCATGTTAGGTCGCAACGCAAGTTTCATTTCACCAGTTTCTTTGGAACGGCCGAAAGGACAATCAACGATCTTAAAAACAACCCGCATGTGACAGAATATTTTTCTTCAGTTTTAGCACCCATACGCCAAATCCTATAAAAATCAGGGCTTTAGTCAGAAAATGCTCTAATCGACCTGTGATCACGGCGTGGGTCGGAAGCACCAATGCTTTATGTGAGGAATTAATACTGATCTCTCGCACTCCATGTCCTTACAAACTTGATTAGAAGTAGCGTTTAGAATTGCATGTCCACAGATGGTTTGGGGATGTGGGTGGAGTGGAGCAAACTCGATTGCTTATCAATCCAAAGCCCGGCACCGGTAGGATGGGGAGGGGGTCTCGGAGCAAAGAAGCAAAACAGGACGAAATATTGAAGGGACTCTTGAAACTCCAGCAGCAAACATAGGAGCACGCTCCGTGACCTCAGAGGGTACATCGACGCGCTGTACCTCGTTTTATGTAGGTTGTGCAAAGAATACCTTACAAGACAGACTGCTCTATTGTACGCCCAGCCCAACAAACTACCCCCACCCCCACCCAGCGGAAGTGACAGTACTGTACAGTACAAACGCTCCAACACTGGCAGACGCACACTTCTGTGGAGGTCAGGGTCAGTACTGTACACAGTTCGGTCGTGGTTTCAGAGGGTGTCTCATGTGACTGGTCCGCGCGGACCTGGTCCGTAGCTTAAATTTGCACCTTGGTCCGAAGTCTGGTCCGACGGACCCTCTGGCAGACCAGCCGTGGACCAGAAGCGGACTGGTCTGCTTGATGTGTTGCTACAGTCGCTGCGAATCTCAGCAGTGACGACGAAACAATTATTTACTGAAATCGAGTTACCCTTTTTTATGTGCCCGTTTGAAGCTTTCAGAATAATCTTGTGCGAAAAGCACGAGAGTTAGAAAATTCGTAAAGAGATGTTCGTGAGATTACTGTTTACGGACCAGGGGCGGACTGGTCCGGCGACCAAATCGAAGGCACCGTTTTAGTGCCATTCGAACGCTATAACGGGAACTCAAGCCCGAACCCTGGTCCAGTCCGTTGCTGGCTCACGCGCTGGTTCTCGAGCTGGTCCGTCGGGTCCGCGTCGGACCCGCGTGGACTTGCTCGTTTGAGACACGTCCTCAGACACCACCGAATGATGGTTCGCATCGCATCGCATCCCATCCCACGAGTTTGTTTCAGCCCATGAATCACTACTGTTCATACTGGTAAGTCACGATTCAAACCGGTGAAGCAGACAAACCGCTCTAGAACTCACGGAACCTTTTCCCTCCGCAGAGTTGAACCGAAAATGAACTCGTGGGACACGCCCTACCCCTTGAAGTTTACGATGGACCCAACCGAAGAAAGGCATAGAAGCATCTCCTCCAACCACCTTGTCCTTTCTACCCCTCTCTTCCACGCTTGCCTGAATGCAAGCAAAGCAGCAGCACAGCACGGGGATGAGCTACTACTACTACACAACACAACACACGTCCAGGCAGCAGGGAACGCGTGCAGCAGAAGCTCCTACACATTCTCCAAGCCATTTTGTTTCTTTGACCAGATACACCACCGCTAGACAGGGGCACCATTAGCAAGAAAGTACGTCATTCATCTTTCGTTTTCCGTATACATACTCATTATTAGGAACTACTTCCAGCAGTCCTGCTTCTCGTTTCTCTCTAGAGTCGTGGATGGCGGAGGCGGCCGCAGTACTGCGCGCGAAGAAGCAGGCGGAGGGGAAGGAGGGGGAGGATGTGGATGGTGGCGAGGTGTTGTTTCCGCGGTCGAAGAGTTTGCTGGACGATAACTTCGAGGCGTACGAGGCGGCCAACTACTGCATGTGGGTTCGTTCCAAATCCGACAATCCACCCAGGTGAGCCGACCATGATGTTCCGTGCTTGCTTGCACGTGACCGTTAGTGCTTGCTTGCACGTGACCGTTAGTGCTTGCTTGCACGTGACCGTTAGTGCTTGCTTGCGAACGCGCTTCTCAATGCCGCTAGTATTTTCTCCCCAAGCACACTCCCGGTAGCTTAACCATTTTCCCTTCCGCTCCGCCCAACTCCCCTCGCCCGTCCTTCTCGTTTCGAAGCCGCAAGGCTTCGGGATCTCGCAGCCGCAAGCAATTCAACCTAGATTTCCTCAGTAGCTACGGCAGGTTCACGCCGCAAAATCCGGAGCTCATGGCACGTCTCACGAGAAGCTCGTCGGCCAATCCGTCCGTTCCCGTCAACGAAGACCAGGGAGGGCAAGGTGACGGCGGCGATGAGGTTTACGGGGGGATTTGCGCGGAGGGCGGAGCGGAGAGGTTGGCGGAGGAAGGGAGAGCTGGCGGAGAGGGTTCTGGGACTGAGGGAGCGCGGGATAGCAGCAGCGACAGCAGTCACGAGAGCGCGGCGGATGACGAGAAGGGGCTGCGCGCCTTCCTGCGGCATTGCCGCCAGCGGGTCAGGCGTGCAAGCAACACGACCGCCGACGAGAGCAGCGCCGTTGGCGAGGAAGGCGAAGAGGGAAAGGCGACCGCTGCGAGGGGTCCGCTGAAGCGGAGCTTGACGGAGGATGCGACGGGGGAGATGATGGCGCGGAGCAGCATGGGCAAGGGCTCGTTGCAGGGCTTCACGAGGGGGGCGAGCTTGTCGCGGTCGGCGAGCGACGTGCTGCAGGAAGCGGAGATGGACGAGATGGACAGAGAGGTGCTGCAAGGTGCGCCCAGGTTCAGAGCGGTGCTCCACTGCGGGGGCTGTGGGGCGACACACGCCCCACGTCCATACCTCTTCCTCGCGTTTCTCTCCAACACACCGCCTCTGGCGTTCCGCGCCATCCGCACCGTTCCCCCCGCTGCTCTCACCCGCCTCAACACCTCAACGACCCCTTCCCCATCCCACCTTTCCCCCTCCCCTCCCCCCTACCCCCCCGTTGCGCGCGTGGCAGAGGCGTTCGCGCGAGTGATGAAGCTGCAGCAGCGCGTGCAGCACTACCGCGACCTGGGCGGGTTCGTGGTGCTCATGGCGCTCTTCATCACCATCCTCTACCTCCAGGCCGACTCCTCCCGCAGCTACCAGATCACCGCCGCGCACGCAGTGCTCTTCCCCCCCGTATGCTCCCCCTCTACCCCTCGGCGTGCCCTTCCCCCCCGTATGCTCCCCCCATACCCCCCGCCGTGCCCTTCCCCCCTGTATGATCTCCCCTTATCCTCCTCCGTGCTCTTCCCCCCTGTATGATCTCCCCTTATCCTCCTCCGTGCTCTTCCCCCCTGTATGATCTCCCCTTATCCTCCTCCGTGCTCTTCCCCCCTGTATGATCTCCCCTTATCCTCCTCCGTGCTCTTCCCCCCTGTATGATCTCCCCTTATCCTCCTCCGTGCCCTTCCCCCCTGTATGATCTCCCCTTATCCTCCTCCGTGCTCTTCCCCCCTGTATGATCTCCCCTTATCCTCCTCCGTGCTCTTCCCCCCTGTATGATCTCCCCTTATCCTCCTCCGTGCTCTTCCCCCCTGTATGATCTCCCCTTATCCTCCTCCGTGCTCTTCCCCCCTGTATGATCTCCCCTTATCCTCCTCCGTGCTCTTCCCCCCTGTATGATCTCCCCTTATCCTCCTCCGTGCTCTTCCCCCCTGTATGATCTCCCCTTATCCTCCTCCGTGCTCTTCCCCCCTGAATGATCTCCCCTTATCCTCCTCCGTGCCCTTCCCCCCCCCCCCTTTCCCCCCCCTTCCCCCCCCCTCCGCTCCTTCTATCATCCATGCTCGGTCCCGTATGCTTCACGCAACCCCCACCCCCCCAACCCCCCCTCCGCGGTATTCCCGCCTGAACGATCCCCACTTCCGCTGTGCCCACACCTCCACCACTCATGCATCCTTGTGTGCATCACCGTCGTGCCCGTGAGGCGCCTCAAAAGGCATCACCGCCGTGCCCTTGCCTAGCACAGTCGCCGCCTCTCCTCACCCTCCGCCCAGATTTTATCTCTCCCCGCCCACCACGAGAGCAGGGCATGAGTCAGGACTCCTCCAACACCTTCAACGGTCCAGATGACTTCTACAATTGGCTCAACACCTCCATCGTGCAGGTGCGTGCGCTCGCCTCCCTCTCCCCTTCATCTCTGCGTTATCGCTCCGCATGAACTCGTTGCATGTTCCCTCCTTTTCCATCCACCCAAGCCTGCCCTCCGCCCACCCATGCGGCATCACAGCTCTCTCCTGCACGCATCATGGCCCGCACGCTCGCCGGCCCGTCCGCTCCTCACTGCTACTCCCCTCCTCCCTGCCATTCCTGCAGAGTCTGTGGACGGACCCCAAGTGTGGCACAGGCGAGTGCGAACGCCCCTTCCAGTTCCCCGCGTTTGGCCGCTTTGGCTGCGAGGCGGACTGCGGCACGTTCCCCAACCTCACCTCCATCGTTGTCAGATTCTCCTCCCACCTTGACACGCAACAGGCTGCGGACGAATCTTCCTGGAACCTCTGCATGGTTAACCCCATCTCCCTCTGCTGGTATGCTCGCCCTCTCTTCACACACCAGCCCTTGCCTGCACGATCTCGCTCCTCCCCCATCTGCTCTTCTTACCGTCCCGTCCTGTGTATCCCATCCCATCTCTTCCCATCCCGACCTGTCCCATCCCATCTCATCCCATCCCATCCCATCCCATCCCATCCCATCCCATCCCATTCCATCCCATCCCATCCCATCCCATCCCATCCCATCTCCTTTCATCGCATCCCGTCTCTTCCCATCCTGTCCCGTCCCCTCCCATCCCATCCCATCTCCTCCCATCGCATCCCGTCTCTTCCCATCCTGTCCCGTCCCCTCCCATCCCATCCACCATCCCACACCACGCCTCCCTACTCCACTCCATGCGTGGCGGCGGCGCCCATGCGTGGAGTGCAGGTACGAGTCATTCCAGCCATTCCCGCGTGGTGATGCGGAGGTATCGGTAGCGGTGGACATTCCGGACGGCGACTGGGTGGTGGTGCTCAACGCGCCCGCGGGGGGCATCCGCGGCACCGTGCACGCGCCCCCTCCCGGCACGCGCCGCTTCTCCGTCGTCGGCGCCGCCTCCACCGTTGAGCTCGCTGCCTGGGGCTACTGCGCACACGATGATGACGTGGATGCAGCCAATCAGGCGCAGCCCAGTGGCGGCGCTGGCGATTCTCCGCGTGATGTCTGTCGTGATGTATGGTTTTGCTTGCGCAATTTGCCTGCCTCCGTTGTGGAGCGCGATCAGGTTCCATGGAGCTCGTGTTTGGTACTGAGTAAAGTGCGTTACTTATCCATATGTGATCCCAACTCATTACATGCATATGTGTGTAACTTATGCGTGTGTTCATCATGTGTGCATGCAGACGTGTGCAAGGCTGGTGGTCTGCCTGCCAGCAACATGTGGGCGAGCATTCACGGAGAGGGAGGTGGCAGGGGCGTTCGTGGACTGTGCGCGCATGTGCATCGTTGCACGCGCCTCCATCACCACCTACACCGATGTCACTTGCCCCATGGTGCGCCCCCTGCCCCATGGTGCGCCCCTTGCCCCATGGTGCGCCCCTTGCCCCATGGTGCGCCCCCTGCCCCATGGTGCGCCCCTTGCCCCATGGTGCGCCCCTTGCCCCATGGTGCGCCCCCTGCCCCATGTGCGCCTCTCTGCCCTGGCATGCCTCTCTGCCCTGCCATGCCTCTCTGCCCTGGCATGCCTCTTTGCCCTGGCATGCCTCTCTGCCCTGGCATGCCTCTACATCCTTGGGTGGCTGCCACACAGTGCACCGCACCACACCACACCATGCTGCCTGCTAATACCTCTCTGCCCTCGGGCTACTCACCTCCAGCGCCTAATCAATCCTCAGGGCGCTTCTCTTTCTCACTCGGCCCCGCTGCTCTATCCCCCAATGCATGCAGCCTGAGATCGCAACACTCTTCTCCAACATCCCCTGCAACGTTTCAAGTATCGTCCCTCTCCCTCCCCCCTGCATTCTGTCGTGACCTGTCTTGACTTGAGTTGAGTCCCGTGTGGCATGTTGGCATGTAACGCACTCACTTGGTGCACGCTGTGGCTTGCATTCTCCACTCATCACTATCGGTCACCATCCTCTCACCGCGGATTACTCCCTCCCATCCTCTCTCACCGCACATCACTCCCTCCCATCCTCTCACCACACACCACCCTCTCGCATCCTCTCTAACCGCACACCACCCCCTGCCATCATCTCTCACCGCACATCACCCCCTCCCATCCAGCAGTCAGCTCCACGGCACACATCTCTCATTTCGCCCGCCGCAAGGTGCTGCCACCCCCATCTCTTGCTGTTTCGCCCTTTGCTTGCCGTTACCTGTTACACACCTGTTACTTTCCTTTTCAGCTTAGCACTCTCTTGCTCCCTCCACTCCACGTCGCTGTTCGCCCTTTGTTCGTGTGCGCACCTCTGCAAATTCCTCCTTCTCATGCCCTCTCCCCAGTTGACCCATACCCCACTATCAAATACCCATCGCTTCTCAGGCCCAGGCACAACACCGCCTTCTACACGCACACCGTCGCCTGCACCCCTCCTCCGTCTTGCCCGCTGCCACTTCTTCTGCGTTCACCACGCCTGCTGCTGTTGCTGCCTCTGTGGATGTTGCTGCTGCAGCCCTGCCCGCAGTGCAAGGCGCAGCAGGAGCAGCAGTTGCAGCCCTGCCATCCCAAACACCGGCATCAGCAGCACCACCACCACCCGCAGCAGCCATAGCAGCAGAAGGAATAGCAGCCGCAGTAGAAGGAGCAGCGGGCGCAGCAGGCCCTATGCTGCCCTCCCTCTGGTCGCTCCTGGGCGCCACAGACCGCCAGCGACTGACAGCGCTGCAGGTGGCAGTATCACGAGCCCTCTTCACCATGGCCAAAGACACGTGCCTGGCTGGGCGTGCGCCGGGAGCAGAGGCGACGCAAGTGGTGGGAGCGAGCACGCATGTGCACAAAGGGCCGGGCAGCATCCGGTGGCGCATGGTGGCGTGCCTGTGCACCATGCTGGGGGGGCCGACCAGCACGCTGAATGAGTGCCAGTTCACGGATGAATCAGGGCAGCAGGTGGTGGATGTGGCAGAGATGTATTCGTACCTGCGGCGCACGCATGTGAGCGGCGGGCGTGTGATCTCAGCGCAGCACATGCGGCGCTTCGTGCAGACCATGGTGGCGGGCCTGCGGTCCGTCACGCCCGTCCCAGACGAGGCCGCTGCGCGCCTCAACACGCTCATGCACTTGTTCGATGATGCCATCGTCACCTCCGATGCTGTTGGCTGCTCACAAGGTGCTATGGCCGGTGCTTGTGGTGCTGGGTGCTTATGTGTGGTTGTGGTGCTGGGTGCTTATGTGTGGTTGTGGTGCTGGGTGCTTATGTGTGGTTGCGGGACTGGGTGCTTATGTGTGGTTGTGGTGCTGGGTGCTTATGTGTGGTTGTGGTGCTGGGTGCTTAAGTGTGGTTGTGGTGCTGGGTGCTTATGTGTGGTTGTGGTGCTGGGTGCGTATGCATGTGTGTATGGATGTGTATGTGCATGTGCATGTGCATGTGCTTGTGCGTGTGCATGTGCGTGTGTGCGTGCGCGCTCTCACTCATGGCAGCTCAGACGAGTTACTTAACTGCATATGCGTGTGTGTGTGCATGTGCGTGTGCATGTGCGTGTGCATGTGCGTGTGCATGTGCGTGTGCATGTGTGCCTCTCACTCGTGGCGTCTCCCCTTTGTCTTTTTTAGGCGGAGCGTGGCTGCAGTGGCGGGAGGGCGTGAATCACAACACGACCATCCATGTGGGCGACAAGGTCACCTGGGTGTGGGATGACGACCTCCCGCACTCCCTCAGAGGTACACTATACCTGTGTCTTCAGAGCTCCTCCAGTTTCATGCATGCCATGGCACTAGCTCCTATGCGCATGTGTGCCTATGCTGTTCGTACACGAAGAGAGTTTCCATGTTGAGCCTTTCTAACGACTCTCTCTGCCGCACGCCAACACTTTCCATTCACTGCCCTGCACACCACCACCACCACCACCGCCGCCGCCGCCACCACCACCATCACCAACAACACTGCCGCCGCCGCCGCCGCCACTACCACCACCACCACCACCAGTGTCTGGGATGGGCGACACGGGCGACCCGTTGTTCCTGGGGTTCGGAGGGAACCGCCTGTCCGTGTCCCGGCAGATGACGTGCACCCCCATGAACGTGGGCGCTGGGGACGTGACCGACGACCCCGTGCCCTGCGTGCTACGTGAGTGCCGGTGTGTGTGGTGTGTGCTGGTTGGACGATTCGTTTCACCAATCTATGTCAACCCCGCTTCGTTCATCTCAACATCTTGGCGTGCTGCGGCTCATGCATCACCCTCGCAATCGCGACCCGTTACTCCAACCACTATTCCTCTACGCCCCTCCATCCCCCCCCACCTTCTACCCCCTTCCCCCACCAGAGATGGACGACGAGCCGCAGGGCTCGTTCGCGTACAGCAAGGTGTTTGCAGAGCCCATCACCATTAACTATGAGGACGGAACTCTGGGGGGGGCTTCTGGGGACGCTGTCTCTTCCTCCTCCCCCACACCCACCTCTATGTCCGCGAGCATTCTCACAGTGCTGCCTGCGAGGGCTGGGGTGGAAGCTGCTGCTGCTGGTGAGCAAGTACTGCATGTGTGTGCCTTAGAGCCTTCCCATCCCATCCCATCCCATCCCTTGGGCCCTCCCTTTCACTTGCATCCGCTACATGCATTCTCTCTCCACACTTCTCACCTGATGCATGTATCCCACCACATTTTTCCTGCCTCCAACATCCCCGCCCTCCTCCTTCACAGCCCATCTCCCTCTTTCCATCATTCTTAATGCTCCTCTCCACATCTTCTGCCTGTTCCCCTTGTTTTCTGTTGCACGTCAGGAATTGCAGGTCTTGTCAACACCACCACCCACACCAACGCGGCCAACGCCACCACCGCTGGTCCCACCAACACCACCATCACTGCCGCAGCCTACGAGTGTGCGCGGGGCTGTCTGCTGCGGCGGCTGGCGAACGGGGTGTGCGATGCGGCGTGCAACACGCCCGCGTGCGCCTTTGACGGTGGCGACTGCGCGTGTGTCGACCCGCTCTTTGGCCCCGGCATCTGCCCCTGCCCCCCCGGCCACACTCGCCGGGACGACGGCTGTGAGTCATCCCTCTCCCCTGTCCCACTTCCACTCACCCCTCTGGCTTCGCTTCCATTCTCCCTTCACTCTTACGCTTTCTGCCAAGCACTTCCCTTCACGGCCAACTTAACCTTCCATCTCCACTCTCTCTTCCGCATGCCCCTCTCTTTCCTCCTCTCTCTTTCTCCCCTCCCCGTCCTCCGTCCCCCGTCCCCCTTCCCCAGCGTGTTGTCTATCCACGGCGGTGGGCGCCGATCTCAACTTCCCCTTCTCACTGCAGCGCTACGGCCCCAACTACACAGACAGCAACTATGCATTTGCGGCTGAGAGGAGCAATGCTGCCACACGCTACGTGTCTCGCCGCAATCGGTATGAGCCCCATGCCTCCCTGACTGCCATGCCTCCCTCCCGTGCCTCCCTGACTGCCATGCCTCCCTCCCGTGCCTCCCTGACTGCCATGCCTCCCGTGCCTGCCTGCCTGCCTGCCTGCCATGCCTGCCCTGTTAGGCGCCACTCTTGTCCACTGCCATGCCCATGTTACGCTGTCAACCCCCAACCACAGCACAGCACCTACCCAGTTGCGAGCACCTCTCCTCCATCTCGCATTGCACCAGAAGGGCAGGTGCTACGCCAAGCAGTACCATCTTGTTCTGTAAACTTCCGTTTTGCCCATCAGACCTTGTGCTCGCCACCGCAGTCAGCTTCTCACTCTCCTCTGCCACATCCCCCCCTCCCTTCCCTTCCCTTCCTCTCCGGGGCAGTCTGCTGATCGGCATGGTGCTACACCAGGAGCGGGTGGGCACGCAGCAGTGCAGTGGACCGGGGTGAGTGCCTCTCGTGAATGGGGGGCTCATGTGACCATCATCAAGAATTTCAACCTGACTACCTGCCGCTCGTCGGATCAGCTTCCACAAGCCAAGGGCTCGGAGAATTCTAAAAAAAAAGACCTGCACCGAGTCTTTGCGTCGGGTTGCGCCTCCATGATGAGCCGCCAGTCGAGCCTAGCCAACGGGCCGGGCCGGCGTCTTTTGACAGTTGCTAATGTCTGCTCTTACGTGCGAGGGTTTCACGATGCTCGCCTCATCCCGTCTTACGTGTGATG